AAAAAAAGTATCATGCAGGTTAATCACTTGCATGATAAGAATCCAAGCAGTTGGGTTTTTTTTTTAACATATTAAATACAAACCTGTAGAGCAAAGGAAAGTGTGAATACTGTACAACACTTAATGAGATGTGATACTTATGCATTCTTTTATGCCAAAACACAGATGGATGCAAGATAATTGAGAAAATCAAGCATTTCTATCACCTTAAACTTAAGACCCTACAGCTAAGAAAATCAAACTAAAACTGATTTAAGTAGAATCACTCAGCTTTTTTGCATTCCTCCACCTTGTTTTACTGACTGATTAGTGTGTAGGCCTGGCATAAATAACCATCTGGTGTGTCTTTGCTCTCAGCAGCTGTTTCTGTTTTGTACTGATAACTTCCCAAGGAGAACGATTGATAGGGCAGGCTTCAGTTAGGGTTGCAGGTCTGTGGTTGAATTAGTACTAGCAAAATGAGGGAGTGAGTAGATTATAAAGTTTTCCAGTTGTTTTTTTTTTTTTCCCCCTTTTGCCCCTTAAAGCTCTGTTCTTACTTCACTTCTTCTAGGTGAGAAGGAAGTGAGTTGTGGCTTTCCCTAAAACTAAGGTAAAAAGATGTCTGGTCTGCTATGAGGGTGGTATTTTTGTTTTGATTTACCTAAGGCTAGAAAGGCTGGCTGGTTGGTTGTGGTAGTAGCTGCAAGTCATTGGCTTCTCTGTATGGCTTGTCTTTACAGTTAACATTTTTGAAGCATCCCAGGAGAGGTCCTAAAAATAATGAGATGCTGTTTTATGGTTATCTGTAAGGGGATAGCTGTCCTTCTGAAAAGAGATTGTGCTACACAGAGTAAGAAGGCTGTGCTAGGTTGCCTTAATGTATCAGCTTATGACGGGGCTTCTATATTTTTTATGAAATTTCTGTGTGATAATGGACTACCAGCTAAACAAAACCTGTTTAAAAAGGCCTTGAAGAATGAAATGTTCTTAGTGTGTAGAGTCTGATAGACTGTATGCCTCTGTTCTGTATATGGTATGCCAATATTTTTCTGAGCTGTGTTCCTGACTAGCAGGATGATTTTGGTATGCTTTTAGAGAGCTATCAATGATAGCAAGTAAGCTTTTCTTAAAAAAAAAAAAAAAAAAAAAAAAAAAAAATTCTCACTAGATATGCTATTTTGCTAAAAGTATTGGCTTCTCTAATGATACCTTTCATGTAAACTATTTGCTTTTTCTTCTTAAACTAAAAAACATACCTCTATCAGATTAGGTAAAAACTTCAAACTGTGACTTAAGGAAACACTTGTGGCTTCTCTTTTGATACTGCTTGACCTTTGGGTCCTGTCTCAGAAGCTCAAGGACCTGTGAGGCTGGGAATGGATGCTCTGAAAAATACCAAACAATCTAGCTGGCTCGAATCTGGTCACGTTTCCGCTTCAGTATACCAACTTGGGTTTTATTTTAGGCTACAGAAGAGTGCTGTGTGACTAGGAAGGGAAGGGGAGGTAGTAAAGGAGGGATTTACCACAACATGAACCCTGGTTTGTCCTTTAGAAGATGCAATCTTGGCTCTTTTGTTGGCATGGAAATTAATTTCCACACAATAAATTACAGCTTTTGAAGTGAGGCATCTAGACCCAAGAGACTGTGTTATGTGCATAAACCTTCAATCTCCTGGTTTCCTTGAGCATTCTTGATGCCAGGCTTGAGCTTCTTTCCGGATTCTGCTGTGCTAATTTATAAAATGTTCAAGAAATAAGATATTAATTTATGTTCTTATTTCAGTATTAGTTGTTACTTATCTGCTTTTTATGGTGGGTTTTTTTTAAGTTCAAACTGTAGTCTTTCCTTTCTTGTATTCAATTTCTAGCCTCTGTGTTTCAGATGGGGAAGATGAACAACTTGCATTTTATATCATATAATGTGTTTTCTGGCAGAAAGAACTGGAGGAAAACAATAGCATGCCCTAACCGATGAAAGTAGTGGATGATGGATTTGGTTGGCTTGTGAGGTCCTTAAAACTGCCTCAGAACTTCTCCCAGATCTTCTGTGTGTCTGTTTTTCCATTCTGAGATATATACATTGATGAAAAGGTTAGCAGTTAGTATGATGTGTGCTGTTGCAAACTATATGCACTCCTCTTATCTATGGTGTAATATATACGTTCAACTTAAGCTTTTCAGCTTTTCTTAGCTTAACTTCTGTTGTAAGATCTTGTTGATGCAAGAAATGCTATAGAGCAGTAGAAATGGCTTCTATTCAAAAGCAGCTGCTCCTGGGACTGGATGCAGCTATTTGTTGTTCGGTAGTGAGAGTGTCTATTCCTTTAAATATGAAATATATTTTGGGGTGGAGAGGATGGAGGACACCACTTAGTTGTTTGTGTTTGTTGTTATAATATCGTTGTCTGTAGTGCTGGAAAGGATGAGAAAATTGCAGCTTCTGTGGCTGTAATAACAGCTCTCCTTTGTGCTCTCCTCCTTCCTTTCCCCTCTCTCTTGCTAAAGCACACAGTAAAACTCAATATTTGGAATTTACTTGGCCTTCCAGACCTTACCTTCAGCATTAGACTTTCTGTGAAGTTCTGGTCCGTTCTTGTTTTGGTTACTACTATCTGCTTGTGTGTCTCTACCTAAACAGAAGACATGGGAAGCCTGAGGTAGTGTACTTGGTAATAAAAATCATGTTTGCATTCACATTTTACGCTAAGCAGATGTTGCTGTTTTCTAAGGTGTGCAAAGTCTAAATGTGTGCAGCAAACTCTAGGAAAAAAGATAATGTTTCTTCTGCAGAGGGAGAGCAATGTGGATACCTTAGCTGTCGTACTGCATCAACAGAAGGTGTCTGGTGAGCTTGCCACTGGCTTGTGCCAGGAGGCAGGCAGGGCTCTGAGCTGCCTGGAAGGACAATGCCACTCAGGCTGTTCTCAGTACCCCAGCTGGCTAGGCTCCCTCTGAGTAGCTATGGACCTCTCCAACTGCAAGTACAGAACATGTGGTCAAAACCAGCAGGTTAGTCTGACACCAGCATCTCCCTAGGAGAAAAGTTGCTGCAAGTCTGACAACCACAAAAATACAACAAGTGCTGTGCTATGTTGTTAGGAATAGCTGTATTATTAAGCTGTTTCTAAGTCCAACTGGAAGGAACTGGGCCGGGGGGGTGCCAGGTGCATATACTAGATTGTGAAGTCACTTCTAAATAAAAGATACTAAATTCCTTATTCCAGTACCTACCACTGTATCAACTAGCTTTGCAAAACAGGTAGCAGAGAAATGCCTAAATTTAGAGTAAGCACAAGGCAGACTCTATCTCCTCTGTCTGTAGAGTACAATCTGGTTTTGCACATACTGTACCCTGGCAGCTCAATATTATATTCCAGGAAAGCTAGGTTCCCTTTGGACTTTTGAAATTTGCTTTAGAGTATGTGCTAGATTTGGTCTCATGAGAAGACACAGGTGACAGAGGAACATTACTATCCAATTTAAAATTAACACAGCTTGTTATTTGTATGACTTGAAGATAAAACTTCATTCCTAAGCTATTAAAAATAGTCCTCTCAAGTGAGATCAGTCTTACAAAAAGTAACAGTAGATTTAAGATCTGCTTTACTTCAGACGTCAAAACAATCTCATCTTTTACTAAGTTTATTACAGATGTAGTATCTACATAGGCATGCTGGCTCATAGCCCAGAAGTGTACGTGGTATTAACAGCTCAGGTTTGATGTGTTTTCCTCATGTAAGAAAAAAGAAAACTTTTACCTCCATGGCAGTCTTGTTCAATGAAAGGCATCTGCCTTCTGTAAATGACTGGACTGAACACATGGGGGAGAAATTACCACAGCTCTTCAGCTTCAAGAGCTGTTTGAGAAGAGGCATGCTTTTGAATGCTGCAGTACAGAACAAAGGTGAAAACATACAATGAGTGATCTATAACATCTGATGGGATGTCACAGTTCTTGTAAGAGTGGGGCACAGATACTCTTCTAGTAGTGTGCTGGTAACAGTAGCTATTCAGATTGTTATGACCTTTTCTGAGACTCATGAAATACTCTATACCGTGGTGAAAAGCAGGGTCAGATTTTTTCAGCATAAAGCAGGACAAATTGATAACAGAATAAGTAATGCTTGATTAGATGAATGCACAAAAACAAACAAACAAAAAACCCCCTTACATTTGTACAGTAGGGAAATAACATCAGAATAAGAAAATATGGTGCTCTTTTGGTCTCAAAGGGGAGGAAGTCAGACTCTTGACTGAAAGTTTGCAAGTCAGCAATGAGCTAAGGAGGGCAAGAACTGCAATTTCTGTAATCCTGCTTGGTGAAGGTCTTGCCTAGTTCAGCGCTGGTGTTCTGCACCCCAAAACACAAGCCTCTGCTATTTGTAAGTACCTACATGTACTGCTCTGGCAGAGCAATGCTGCACTGGCTAAAGACAAATTACTGACTTGCAGTATTCTTTAAATGATCCAAAACTGTCTGACAAGGGGAATGAACCTTTTATAGTCCTCTGGTACATAACAAAGCAGAAAATACTGTTGTGAAACAGTATAGAAACTTGATAAGAATGGTTTCAAATTACACTTATGCTAGAACATTTTATTGGCAACTGTAGGCCTTCTGTGTGGTGACTTGGCCAAGATGCATGAGGAAGGTAACACTTAGCAATTGCTGTGTCCCAAGCAAGACTTGCAGTGTGCTGTAAAGCTACTTTTTAGGTTAAACCTCTACTATAGGACTCCATTTGTGGACATGGGGAGAGGCAGAGGATGCATCCCTAGTTTATAGTGGTCCAGCACATCCAGTTATACGTTGTAAACCAAATATGTCTTGGTTAAACCATGAAAGTAAGCCTGTGACTACAGTACTGCTGCTCTATGAACAGAAGACATGCAAACAGCATTAAATCTAGGTCATTGAATCCTTCATTGAATTCCACTTATTGTTTTTTTTTTTTTTGCACAGGTTAGGTGTCTAATGAAGATATTTGAACAAGCAGATGTACAAACTTGCTGAAGATGTCTGTTCCAAGCCAAAGCCATTCTATTATTGTTAACCCTCCTCCACCAGAATATATAAATAAGAAAAACAGTGGCTGTCAAACAAACCAACTTCAGTACTTAGAAAGGGTGGTCATGAAAGCCATATGGAGACACAATTTTGCCTGGCCGTTTCACCAGCCTGTAGATGCAGCAGCACTGAATCTTCCTGTAAGAACCATTTTGGAATTGGAGAATTACTGTGCAAAGTATTACAGGACCAGTGAATGTTATTTTAAAAGAGGGGGTTTTTTTTCTGATGCAAGGGACAGTGCAACACTACTTTTGTATATGAACTGCCTTCATTAACTCAAGTTTGCAGGAAAACTTCGATCTCTGGTTCATACTAAATTAGGATCTGAGGCTATAGTAAATGAATATTTCTACGGGATCGTAAGAATTCTTGGACAGGTCTCTTGGGGTTTCTGGATGTCGGTATTCTGCCTTGTCTTCCTGCCACCTCCCTGCTGGTTTTGCCATATTTCTTAACACTGCCTATGATGTGTTTTCTTTTGCCCTTGAGTTTATTTTTAATAAGAGGCAGCCAGCCTCTTTCCATGACAAATACTTTACAATGGAAAAGCAGATCTGATTGATTGACTTGAAGGTAAATCTGGATCCAGTTTGTTGTGTAGGAGCTATTACATTTATAGTACTACTTACTTTCAAATCCACTTTGGCATCTTGCTCTGAAGTTTCTACAGCAATTAAATGTCCCTATAAAAATATGGTAGAACATTCTTCTAGGAAACATAAGATCTGATGCTTAAGTTCTTGTTCTGTATTGCCTTATGGGTTTTATTTATGTTACAATTCAATTGCAACAAAGTCAATGAATATAGTGTCTCGTGACAAATTGTCTTAATTCAGGTATCTTTAGATTCTAGTTTTGGGTCACCCAAGCTTTCCAAGTCCAAAAGAAAACATTGGTTAGTCACACAGTGGTATTTCAGATGACCCAAAAGATATTGCTTTCAGTATATAAGTAGAAAGATGCTAAATACAACCATGGTACGTGTCCTGAGATACTTTTTTTTTTTTTTTTCTCCTTTCCCCAGCTTAAGCAATTGTACTGAGGTATCTCAAATTTCCAAGACTAATTCTACAAAACAATTGGTTCCATTTCAAGCAGACAAAAGCCTTTATCTGCATCTGTTTCTTATGGCAAACTCATTTGGACAGTTTGTCCAAAAGCACAATCAAAGTGACTACCTTTCTGTGTCTTTTCTTACCCTTTCTCCTTGGAAGGAACTGCCACTGAAGGTTAATATTAAGGGTCATTCAATCAGAGTCATAGCAACGTTTGCAGCTGGCCTCAGGCTAGTTCTGCCTCTCTGGATTTCTAAGACAGCCACTTGAATTCTAAAAGTATGTGTTAGTTCAACTGCTGCACAATAACAAGCAAACCTCTGGCTCCATGGCAAGGACAATGAAAGTATTTGTCTGCTTTGACTCTTCTCCAGGTGTTAGAAGATGCAGAATGGACAATATTTAATTATTAGCTGCGTTTAAGTTTTCTAGGTTTTGTTTTGGTCAGTTCAATAGTCTGGTCTGTAATGTATTTGACTTTTTAATTTAAATAAAATAGATTGTCAGGACAGCTTTAGAAGACACTTGAAGTAACTCTTGAAGTAGTAACTTAACACAATTATAACATGTGAATTTGGTGGAGATATTCCTGTTCTGTTTTCCTAAATGTGCCAGCAGGGAATTTGCCTCATGCTCTGAATCAGAAGCTTTTAGTCATGCTACTAAAATAATCACAACAGTTCAAATTCTGTCTGCCTTTTAGTCATATTGCCACATCTTCACTAGACTCACCTGGGAGGAAAGCCAATATAACCCAGGGGAATGAAGTATTTGATCAGCAACTGTTAAAACTTGGTGACTCCTTTTTGTTAGTGACTGAGTCTTTGTCTTTGTCGAAGTCTCTGGTTTCTTTTGTAAACTCCTCTGTAAACTGGAGTGCTACTTTAAGTCAGTGGCTTTGAGACAACAAATGAAAAGTATGTATACTTTCATAAGTACCATTACCAGTATAGCTCTGGATCCCTGGAGTTAAATATTCTTTGGGGCTTTGAACAGTGGCTGTTACATGAAAGAGCACGGAGAAAAATGAAGTCAAGAGTTCCTGAATGCTTACTTCCATGGTACCTATGACTATAGGGGAAAGTTTTTCTTCAAAAAAAAAATTTGTCCCAAGATAATGCAATTCTCTTGTAACTTAACTTTGATAACTAAATGTGTAAGAATCTTCACTTTCTAATATTAAAGATACTTGTTGCATGACTCTTTCAAACTCATAGGATTATTACAACATTATAAAGGAACCTATGGACTTGAGCACCATTAAAAAGCGTCTGGAACACAATTACTACACAAAAGCTGCAGAATGTGTTGAAGACTTTAAAACTATGTTCTTGAACTGCTACATATACAACAAGGTATGTGAAATGCAACCTCTTACTGGTAACTAATTCTAGTGAACAATGCAAACAAGTCTAAAATGAGCAAATGGCTACTAGAGCCTGCATTAAATCAGTCAATGTCTTTATGATTTTTTTTTGAAACTATTTTCTCTGAAATGTCAGGAGGGCTTTCTTTGAGCATTTCAACTGATTACATAGTCTTTTCTACACAAGGATTCCTCCTGCAGAATCTCTGGGGTTTAGCTGCAGAGCTCATGAGCAGGTACCAGGTAACTGCTATATAAGTGTAAGGCTACCAACCCTGAGCCATGCTCCACTCCAGCAAGTTGAACTAACCCAATCTGAAGTGTGAGCATCTGCCTGTGCTTGTATATTTGTCTGTCTTACTATCTTTAAGCTTCAACACCTTTCTTCAGAACATAGGAATGAATAAGAGTTACAGATCTGACTCTTTTTTTCTCTTGCTCTGGGAAGCTTGTGGATATAAAGTAAGTACTGGACTATGCAGTGGGAGAGAGGGAGAAAGTGTTTCAGTACTGAAGCAACTTGTATTGAAGTGTGCTGGGGGACAGCGAAGGCAAGGGTCTCACTGTTACTGGTAGGTTCTTAGAATCTGGTGGATAGGGGTTCTGTGGAACGTTTATTTTACAAGGTAGTCCTCTATTATTGCAGCCTCTCCCCTACTTAATGTTACTGCCCCTATTTTGCAGCCAGGTGATGACATTGTGTTTATGGCCCAAGAACTGGAAAAAGTGTTCATGCAGAAAATAGCCAAAATGCCACCAGAAGAAAGGCTCGTGATCCTCAAAAAAGCACAGATAAAAGTGAAGAAGCCAGAAGGTAAGGCCTACGCTGAATTGTTAACACAATAACCAAGCAAAAGCTGGAAATGAGGAATCTGTAGTCTGTCACAGCTCAACCCTGGAGCAGTCAGAGTGTTCTCCACTCTTCCCAGAACTTATCAGACAAGTAATGACATTGCCATAAGGCTTCAGCAGGATTCAGTGCAGTCATAATATTTTTTGTAGGTACTAGCTAAATTTCCTGTTTTCAACAAATGAAGTGTGTTTGAGAGGGGAGGGAGGTAAAAATCAGAATTAATAACTTAATCAGAAATGTAATAGCATAGCTTCACAAGCAAACCTCTGGTGAAATGCAGTGCTCTTACCCACATAAAAAAAAAAGGATGATTCAATTAAGACATCTCAAACTTACAAGGAAATTACATAGTAAGTGCTTGAAGTGACACTTGGAGGCCTAATTGCAAGGGTCCAGGTAGTTACCTGCAGCTTACTACTTACCAGTGACTTCCTATGTCTTTTTAATTGCTCTTATAACCTGTTTCACTCATACAAAGTGCTCATCTCTGCATCTAAGCTTTTAATGTTGCCGAAGAGCACACATTTATATTCATAGACGTAAGACTACACAGTGCTCAGAATATGTGCATCTCAGTGAGTTAATCTGAGGACCTCTAAGGCAGTTTTTCTAATTGGAACTGATATATACGTAGGTATATTGGAGGTATTGCACTCAGTTTTGAGGGAAATGTTAGCGCTGTCTTGAAAGAGGTGCAACACTATTCACTCTGATGCCTCTTAATTACTTGCCTTCTGACAGCCATGGAGCAGTGATCTTAGCTAGCTCAGTTCTTACTGGGTCACTTAACAGGTGTTCCTATCACTTAGCTGTGCAACTGTATAGCTCTTCAGGGTCTGATGACTTAATTTGCTTCCTCTCACTGCTGTTAGTGGTATGGTAGTCCTTGTTGCTGGTAGCATCTGGGGAAAAAAAAAAGCTTCCTTAAAATAGTATTGCAGTTTGATAGATTTTGGTAGCTTTCTTCTCAAGGTCTATCTGAGGAGCAACACTAACTTTCTGTGATCTGGTAGATAGATATGGAAAAGTAGTGGATTTCTTTGCCCTTTGACAAGGATTTTTAGAGGATTAAGAGGCTACTCAGCTGGCTTCCTCTTCTTACTACCTTACTTGACTGAAATCTCATGCAATTCATTGCCTTGGCGGAATATGTTGGCTGAACAGGTAGAAGTGATTTCCAGAAAATACTTCTGTTGAGAAATATGTTGGAAGCTGACTTAGCTTTTTGATTCTCAGTGATTACAACAATTTGTTGAGATGCTTTCATAACACCATCTTGATGATATTAATGCTTTTGAAGTCCCCTCATGCCCTCTGCACAAATATGCAGCTTGCACAAATTTTTGAAATGTTCTAAGCATTTTTTTTTTATTTGGATAGTGGAGCATATTGCTTTACTATCCAAGGTCAAAGAAATACTTGTCTTTTGCAGAATTTCGCTTTAGAGTCAGATCTACATACACAGCTTATTTCCAAAAAAAAAAAAAGGCAACTGACTTCCATTTCAGAGAATGTCATGGTGTCGCTCAGCATTGGTATTTAAACTAATACCTGCAAATGTCTATGGGAACTCAACAGAATCACAGAGCTGGAAAGACATTAGTAATCTAACCAGCCAAATCAAATATAGGAAAACATTGGTCTAAATTGTCATCAAACCAGTGATGAAGACCTGTAATACTGCTAAGCAATATATGCAGGTCTTAATTATGCTTAGGAAACTTGAACCTTCATGATGTAGTTTGATGCACCTTTTACTGTTTTCTACATACAAATTAAGATCAAACAACTGGACTCTCTTATTGGCAAGAATGTTTTTGCAATGTACAGGATTTAGCATGATGTATCTTTAACCTTCCCTCTGAAGCTAATCCCCAGCTTCCTTGAAGCCAAATACATGTAATCTGGTACAATATTCTAGCTGAGGTACCAATAGTGCTGAGCAGAGGAGTGTACCAGTGGTGCTATGCTTAACAATGTTCGTTTGTATAGTTAGCACGTGGAATAGTGGTTCTACTGACAACCGTTCAATTTGATCATGAATGAAATTAATTGTGACATTTGAGACCTCACTTGAAAACTTTCTATTTTAAAATGACCAGAAAAAAAGCAGCCCAACCCTGGCACTTCAAATGAGCGAAGCACAATGCAGAAACAAGCTGAAAGCAGTGAGCAGCCTCCAGTGAGGACTCAAGAGCTACAGCAGGTTACACTAGCTCCTTTGTCTGCAGCTCAGCTGACTGCTTTAACGCCAGCTGCAGTCACTATAACAAAAGTAAGTTTCCTCAAATAACTTTCAGAAGGAAAGGTATTGAATTTGCTCCTTGAGGCGCTAACAGCAAAACCATAGGAGCCACGCTTACTGCAATCTCTTTTCAAAACCTCTATTGTGGTAGAAGATAGTAAGAGGTCTCTATTAAATCCTCCAGGCCTCTGTGAAATAACTGGGCCAGCACTAATTCTAGAAACTAAACAGAAATTGAGATGACTCCCTTACGCATCTTTTCTTAAAAATGTGATTTTAAAATGTTGTTCTGAAAGAAATAGTGAACTTTAAGATGGTTATTCTTAGTTGTAAAAGTCCTGATACTTTTTTAGATTGCATGTGTGTATAGTCTGAAGGCTGATCGTTCTCTCTGTTATGTACATCTGTATTTTAAACTGTAAAATTTTCCTTTCCTAGGCAAAAAATGGTGTGAGAAGGAAGGCTGACACTACAACTCCTAGTACTTCAACATTTGCAGCAAGTGGTGAATCTTCTGCAAAATTTAATGAAAGAAAAGCTGTTAAAGCATGCAGCAGTGAAAATGAAAGTATGATACCAAATAAGCTTCTGAAGAGATGCTTTCCAGATTCCCAACAGTCACCTGAAATTTCTAAAACGGTTCAGTTGTCACAACAACTAAAACGTTGTAATGAAATACTGAAAGAAATGTTTTCTAAGAAACATGCAGCATATGCATGGCCTTTCCTAAAACCAGTAGCTGATGCATCTTTCTCACTTGGTGAGAACAAAAGGATCATCAAGTGTCCTACAGACCTTGGAACCATTAAAGTAAGCATGTTACAAAGGGAACTGGACTTATTTGTGTGCATGTCTGAATAACTTGTGCACTGACTGGATCTCAATAGTCTTAGCTGAAAAGGTGTCATGAAAGCTGCTTCCCCTTTGAAAGAAATAGTGGGCATAGAAACCATATACACTTATCTCTCTCAACAAACTAAGCCACAGCTTGCTCAGGTCTTCTAAGTGTCATTGTGCATCATGGCTAACCTACCTGTCTGTTGAACAAGCTAATATAAGTAGTGTAAGCTAATGTAAGAGTAATATAAGCCCTGTGAAGCACTCCCATGCAGGCTGCACATGAAGCATCTTTCGGTCTGTATACACAGTGCTGTTGCTAATGTTCTATAAAACAAAAGGGAATCCTGTAATGTCAACTTCTGCTTCTCTCTGAATCTCGTTGTCTGTGGTGAAGTGCCCTGGAACATCTACACTTGATATCTGCATGACACCTTTCACCTTTTCTGTGAAAAGGAACCTTTCTAGAGGGACATATGCGGCCAGTGTTGTCTGAATAAGGCTAGGGCACATATGTCTGGAGCTGAAGTATTTAGCGAAGTTCAGATCCACTTTTCCCACAAAAGTTGAATTTCAAGCCTACTGAATTATCTTAAACTGGCTTATAGGGAAACATTTCTCTATTGCAAGAGTAAGCAGTAAATGGAGCACCATTTTCATAATGGTTCTTAAAATATTTGTCTTGATACAAACTGAATCTGATACTGGATGTCAACATTCTTATTTCTCCTCTTTTCCTGTCAGTTCATGGTGATGCCCTCTACTTTTAAGTCCTAAATGTACATTAATTTTCTTTTCCTCTAGAAGAAAATGGATAATGGTGAATACAGAAATATACAAGAATTTGCAATGGATGTTAGATTGATGTTCATGAATTACTACCAACAAAATTCTCCAGACCATGAAATAGTTGCTATGGCAAGCAAACTTCAGGTGAGTTATCACTTAAGTCAGACTTGAAAAAAGAGTAGGATTTTAAGATTCCTTTGGGGTTATCTCGTGTGCTGGTGTAACATCTACTAATGTATCAATTGCTGTCTTGCTATGTAGTTATGGAAAACAAGCAGTAACTTCATAATGCTTTTAGAATTCTGGAAAACATGCTGACCTCTCTGCTGTTCCCACACCAAACTCCTCAGGGCGTTTTTGAGGTGTACTTTGCCAAAATTCTTCAGGAACCTCTTGCAAGTGTTCCTCTGCTACAGCCTAAAAAAGAAACGACAGAGGCTTATTCCAGTGAAAGCAGTAGTGATGACTCTTCAGAAGAAAAATCATCTGAAGACTCTGAACAGGAAAAAATGGTGCACCTTGCAAAGCTTCAGAAGCAAGTAAGCATTAATACTCAATGTGCATGACTTATAAGCTCTCATAGCACCACTTGCAATTGTCTGTTCTAAGGCTTAGCACTAAGAATTGCCTTTTAAAGGATTCTGTAGTCATTTTTCTTAATACAGAACTTTAGTCCCATTTGAAAGTACCTCCAAATGTTAAGCCAGTAGTGCCTCAGCAAATACAAACCGGTATTAGTGAATCATTGCTCTAGTACTCTTGCCTATCACTGCTTCAGATGACTCTCAAACTTTTAAAAACTAACTGTTGCTGTGGTATGATGAGAGCATCCAGATACTGCATGCATAGCTTAGTGGCATATTTTTCTGGTAGTGGCATTTCATATGGTTGAAGAGCCCTGTTGTTGCGCTTGGCTCTTTAGAGCTGCACAAAAGCAAGTCATTAAATTCTACTTCAGAAAGTTAAGTATGAAGTAAAATGGAAGGAATCTCATGCTCATGCTAATGTGAAGCATGGCTTTGCATCTCTGGCTAAGAGTAGAATGGGTCTTGCTTTTGCTGGAACACAATGCTTTTAACCTGCTGCTGCTGTATCCATGATCTATGGAGGAAATTAGCATTTGTTCTACTAGTCAAATGAGGGCAGTTTTCAGTATTTGTCATGTAACATCACGTTATGGATACAGGTGTGAAGACAACCAAAAGTCTACAAGCCAGCCTTAGCAGCAGTGAAGTATTTCAGTGTGTCTGAGTAGTAATTCTCATGGCCTTCTTTCTTCTAATTCCTATGAGGTTTAAATAAGCTTGCATTAGGTATTTAAGCTGTTAGTATGTCCCAACTAGTTATTTTATACTGCAAAATATCTGGGATTTGTGGGTTGAAGGTGCAGAAGCCCAGTGCCACTATATTAAATCAGTAATGCTGTAGAGGTCTAATCTAGTAAGGCATTTCTGTGCTTCCCAAACGCTTGAAATTCAAGAGAGGCTGCTGGCTACTCCTACAATGATTTTTGCTTTTTTTTACTCTTCACAAGATGCTAGAAGACACATGCTGTTGTAAAGCTGCTTATTTTAGGCAGACAGTTCTATCTTATACACCAATAGTCTGTGTGTGACTAATCTATAATATACTAAGATGACCGAAAAATAAACCTCATTTGGAAAGCAAACATCCCATTAATATCAACTCAGCAGCCACAAATGTCCTGTGATATTTATTTTATTGTTCCTCCTACATTGCCTAGTATTATCAGCATTATATGGGTGGTGGGTTTTTTTGCTTTTGATAGCTTAAAGCTCTTCACCAGCAGTTCCAGGCTTTGACCAGAGCATATTTACCTGCACTGAAAAAGAAGAAAGGGAAGGCTGAAAGGGAGAAATGTAAGAACATGGAAAAAGCAAAAATAAAAAGCCTGATTGAAAAGAAGAAAAATGTGAAACACAAGAAGAAATCTAAGAAAAAGCTGTCTCTAAACATGTAAGTGTGGGGGACTTGGGTGGGTGTCAAATTATTTCAGACTGCTGTTACTGCAGTATACCTTTTTTCTTCCAGTCAATCAAAGGAAACCATGCAGCAGGTCTTGTTGGCACATATGTCAGAAGATGAAGATGGTGCCAAGCCTATGAATTATGATGAAAAACGACAGTTGAGTTTGGACATTAATAAACTCCCTGGAGATAAGCTTGCGAAAGTAGTCCATATAATACAGTCAAGAGAACCTTCACTGAGGAACTCTGATGTTGACGAGTTAGAAATAGACATTGAAACTTTAAAGGTTTCAACACTCAGAGAACTAAAGAAATATGTGGCAATGTGTTTGCAGAAGAGACCAGGAAAGCAGCAGAGTATGTAGCATAAATATTCTTTTTTTTTTTTTTAAAATCCAACACAACCAAACCCTTCAAACCAACTACAACAACAAAAATGTTCGTTTCTTTTCTGTTTTACTGCAATGTTAATTTCTGTTTCAGATGCAGCTAAAAAACCAAAAGAACTACTTCATTTGGAGAGGAAACAAGAGGTAGAGAAGAGACTACTGGATGTCAATGGTCAACTAAATGCAAAGAAGGAGAAAATCAAGTGTAATGGGATTCTTTTACTCATTTCCAACAGATAGAGCTTAAAGTGGGATTCTCCCCTTGGTATTATGTACTGTTAGGCAGCTGGGGACTTTCTCCTCAGAACAGCTGAGGTCTTAAGCTTCCTGTTTCTAGTCATAAGATTCTTCTTATGTTGAGTGAGCTGGAGTCACAGCAGCAGCAGATTTGGTCAGTCACTGGTCCTGTCTAAAACACCTTCCTTATTCTTGTACCTAATCCTTTATTACATGTAAAGATGGTAACACCTTCAGAGTTTAAAGGACAGTGAACACCTCCTTTATGCTGACATTTGAAAATATGGTGGAGGAGGAGAAGTGTCCCACAGTTTAGGTTGTTGGCAATTAACTTTCTGTGGCTTAGAGATTTAAGAATAACAAACTCTAGTCATACTTGTTAGGTTGCAACCTCACTAATGCTGTTGTGCTAGCAAAACTTCTGCAGCAGTGACAGGTGTGCAGTGTTGTCTTAGTCTTAAGGAAGTCCCCCTGTAGAATCAACTCAAAAATGTTTCAGTATCAAAGCCAGAAATTCAGTACATGCTTGTGCATATCTACACTTACTGGTGGTTCTCATCAGGGTCTGAGAACTGATCAGTGCAGACGAGGCTCCTATTATAGGTAAAATTGTTCCCACTAAATTAGAGGGCAATAACAACGCTCACTATTGTATACCTGTTAAGCTCCTATATAAAGCCAGTTAGTTGAAATGATAGAAGCAGCCCTGCAAGACAGGGCCTTGCATCCAGCATTAGCTCAGTCAGCAGTCTTCACTGTCTTGAAAACATCCTAGAAAGAAAAGCTGAAAGAAGCAGTTGAAATGAATTGTGAAGGATATGTTGTGGGGAGAGGGGCAGGAGGCAGCCCAGGGAATCTTAACAACTGACATCTGGCTTGTTTGCAAGAAAGAGCTTAATCTGGCATTTAAAGATGCGTCCAGGGAAATGGGTATCTCTGTAGCTTCCCCTTTTCAGAGCTTCCTTCAGAGCAGCACTCCTTGAAAAAGTTTTGACTGCAAACTCACTGTAAACTAGAATTAAATCATCTTTGCAGATGCAAAATAGTCAGATGGTGGGGAGGTGGGAAAAAGATGACAATTCTGGAGTACATATGGCTTTGGAAAGAGGAGAGCTGGCTATAGATAAAGACCTCAGCATGCAAGTCTGGCAGCAGCGTCATGCACAGAAACAGGCTCTCAACAGCAGGAAAACTTATGGGGGGAAATTGCTCGAATTGTATGTTAAGACAGCGCTTTCTTAACCTATTTTAGGATTGTAAGTTTTGTGACTACAGCTCTTTCTTGGCTATTTCATTTATTCAGCTAGCTTGCTGCTGGTAAATCTCCCTCCTCTATGGAGGTCTCAAATTCACTGCTTAAATCAACAGCTGACAAGGAAATAGTAAATGATAACTATTGTATGGGAGAATAGACCTAACAAGATTGATCTTAGTCTTGTGTATGAGGACAGTACCACTGCAGATTGTTCTAAACTCATTCTTTTTCTCCTGCAGCTGAAAATGATGCTGAGTCCAGTTTTAGACCAAGCAGACTGAGTGACAGCACCAGCTCCTCAGACTCTGGCAGCAGCACTAGAAGTGGTTCTAGTTCCTCAGATAGCAGTGACTCTGAATCAGGTCAGAAAGCTTCCTTTTCTGCTTGTGTAGGGTTAAAAAAAAGTCTCTTATCAGTTAGCATCTGTTGTTCCACATGCTTACCAACGATTTCAGTTACCCTTGTAGCTTTGCTCCATGCTGAAGGCTCAACTGCAGTGCTATTAAATGAGTGTCTTCATACTGAATTCGTAGGTTAAAAAAAAAAAAAAAAAAAAATCACTGCATCCACTCAAATTATCAGTGAAAAACTTTGGGCACCAAAATCAGCTAGCAAGAGGTCTGTGTATTTAAGCTGGGGGTTTGACTATTAGGCTACAGCTTACTCTTGTGGGTTTGATTCCTTTTTGAAAGTGTGATGTAATTTATTTTTCATCTGATCTGCACCTTGTGGGTAAGGCTTAGTCCCTAATCCAAAGGACAAAAGTGCCAACAGCATTGACTGTAGAGCCAAAGTCAGTGGTGCCCCTGGTGCTTAAGCTGCCTCAGGCATTACATGTAATGCCCCTCAAGGGACATTACAGTGTTGTAGCATCAGGATATCATAATGATGTTCCTGCCTATATGCATCTTTTTGGGTTTTTTTTGGGACAAAACAGATCTGCCAATCTGGAGGTCTACTATGTAGGTATCTATATGAGGTAACAGTGTAAGGTGAGGTGAATGCTCACCATTTGCAATGCAGGGGAGCAAACACAGTGAAGTCATTGATGGCAGCAAAGACCTTGATCCTGCATGAATCTTTGTGGTCTTTTTTTTTTTTTGTATCTGGAAGAATTTCTCTAAACACATCAAGCTGAAGTCTCACTATTCAAGATAATGTTCCTTCCACTGTGAGGTTTGGCTCTCTAGGTACAACTGCAACTCACATCCTCTATGTGTGAGCAATGAAGCATATGCAAATGACTGATTTTATTTTTGTCTATCCCCCTCTTTCTGACCACTTTGCTGTATTTACAGGTACGGAAACCTGCCCAAAACAGATTGGAACCAGGCAGAACTGTACAACTTGTATGGAAAACACTAAGGTAAACTGACTGCAATGGATATAACTTTTTTGCCCTAAACAAAGGTATTCGTTACATACGAAGGTACTGGCAATGACACAACTTTATCAGGAAATGATGAGTAGAATAATGGTTTGAATGCTGTTTGTTCTGTAGGACTGATTTATACTGAGATGTAAAATTTGCTGTTTGTTAAAAGTTATTTATGTATCTGTGTAGAAACTGATGTACTGGGAGTACTCCTGAGGCTTTTACCTCTTACAGTCACTGAGATAATTCTGTGTAGGGTGAAATGACAGGGGGAGAATGCACCACACATCCCACCTGCCCTCAAAAAAGGGAAATCCTCTCCAACTTGGTCTTTGAGTATAGAATTGACCTAACAAACTATGTAAACCCCACTTAAATGTTTCTTTTTTTATCTACTAATAATCTCACTTCTACACATGATAAATAAGCCATAAAATATACTAGTAATTTTCAGGATACTTTGTTACTTTGGTATTAGTATGAGCAATGGCAGTTTTAGCTGGAAATTTTTATTGCCTCTAAGACTGAATCGCTCTATTCCTGTATATACAATGGGTGTTAATTCTTGTCAGGGTTAGCTGCCTTTCATAATTTCCCTTGAAGCTACCAGAGTTAGAGACCTTGGGTTTCAAAGCAAGACCACAGCAAAGCCTTCATTCTTCTTAAAAAAGACTTGCTTTCATTTCAAGTGCTTAGCTGGACACAGGAAACCAGGCTACAAATGTATTATTCAGCTGCTGCTTCTCCACCTTCATCAGCAACGATCAAGGGGAGGAATTATGCAACACTATTTTTTTTATTTTTTTTTTTTTTTCTTTAAAAAGTACAGCCTCTGCAGTGACAGAACAGCAGTAATAAACTTGAGGAAACAGGATGTAGGAGTCATGCTTCAGCTTGGTCAGTTGTAACAGCCTCTAACAGACTGAGTAACAGCAAACATAATACTCCAAATTCTCACATAACATTTTGTTCTCATGGGTTTTCTGTATCTGTCAGACCTAGGCTAGTGCATTTTATCTCATGGGATTTTGTCATGCAAACTCTTGGAAAATGATAGACCGTCACAATACAAAGACCACTTAATGCTACAAACAGTTGAAATGGGGGCGGTGGTGGGGAGAGGGGATCAAATACATGTAGAAAATAAGAATTGGCTGTATTAACTACTGTAACCTCTTTCTAGAGAACACCACTGTGTTCACAGAGGACGTCCTGCAATGCTGTCCTGCAAGCACAGCCCTCATCTCTTACTAGTAGCTTGCAAAATCGTGGATTGTCTGAACTGCAGCAGCCACCTCCCAGCATACTGCCAAGTCTTCAGCCTTTACAAAATACCTCACTTAAACTGTCAGAACAAAATACTCAGTGTCCCTCAGGTAACATCTTTATGGTAATCATCTCGGTTATATTTGACTGCCGAGGAAAGAAGGGATGGCAGAACTAATGTTTGCACCGCCCAATAAACTTATCTTGGGGTTTTGGAGGCTTTCAAGTGAGTATTAGAACAAGTTCTTGCAGGGTATATGTTATAAAGAGCATGATGTGACAAAGTGTGGCAGACTTGGGGTTTCAGATTACTGGGACACTTGTGGGGCAGAATAGTATTAAAACAGGAGAAAGTGTTCATGCCTCACTGTAACTCGTTTCATTAAGGTATCATTTTCCATCTCATTGGAGGAAGTGCTGAACACCTTTAAGGCAGGAATCTGGTGCTTAAACTCCTCACCACCAATCAACCTCATGTCTGAAACCCTTATTAGCTGAATTGAAGGCTTGGTGCTATAGGATCTCCAAAATGATTGGTGTTGTCTAGACATATGAAATATTAAGTTGCTTAGAAACTTGATCCAAGAAGATATTCTTTTTCATCTCTCATTGCAAAAGGTCTAGTGACTTGAGACACTTCTGAGATTTTGGTAAAAGACAGCTTGAGCTTGTAGCTGATCAACTAAGAAATCAATTAAGAACTAATTAAAAATAACTGTCTCAAATCATGTAGCTAGGATATGTATCTTCATATCCAGTTAATCCCCAGGTCTAAACAGTGACCTAATTTTGAGATGTAGGACTGCACTTTGTGCACTAGGGGAAATCATACACTACTTCTCTCTCAGGTATAATCCCAGCTGTTTCTGCTCTGCATGATATTCCAGACCAGCAAACTCCTCAGAGTACTCCAAGGACAAATCAGTCTTCTGTCACCCAGTGCACACATACTCTTCCAGAGGTGAATACATGCTTCTCTCCAATACATTAAAGTCAAATAATTTCTTTAAAGCATGTTCTTACTCATTTTAAATAAGGTCTAATGTACTATTCCAGGCTTAAATTTGATGCAATGAAGGTTTACAACAAAAGTTCTCTAAAACCCCACTAAGAAAGTTATTCTTATCCTTTAATAGGGCATTAATTCATTGCTTGTTGGCTGTAACACAAAAGGAAGGAGTTTGGCTGATCAATTTATCAGGTTTATAATGTACTATAAAGCTTATTTTAAGTTTTTTTTTTTCATGATATACCTATTATTTTCATGATAACCTATATAAGGGTTACATATGTAACCCTTACACGCTTACTAGTTAAAAGCGCACCCTGTAAACCTACGGTTTCCCAAAAGAGATAGGAAAACAGAAGTACAAGCTGCCTGTTTTCTAGAAATACCAATCTCATAAATGCAGTAGTATACTCTGAAGACTCTAGAGGCTAGCCTGAAAAAGCACGTTGCTTTCTCTTCCTGCCATGGAAACTGTGGCTCTCAGGTTCACAGATGAGGTTGTGAAATAGTCACTGCTGATTTCTGTCTTAGTATGGTTCTTGGAGAGTGTCCTTGTTAGAAGGGCCTCTGTGTTGCAAAGGAAGTTATTGATGTTACTGCAGCAGCGTGCTCTCTTCCATCTTAAGATGTTTAACTATCTTTTTCAACATGGTTTCAAACATAGCTGTTTTAGCCAGGTTTTAATAGCTTTTATCTTATGAAATGGATAGGAAATGTCTCTTGAGTCTACAAGCACAAGAACATGTCCTGCAACAAGAGAAGCAACTCACCCTTTTCCATTTGCATCCACAGTCTAAAGGCAGTGAGGCTCCCCAGTTGAAGGAGATTAGTACAGAATCTTGTACAGAGGAAAAACTACCCCTGAACTGAAGTAATACATCTGCCCTTACCCTGACTCAAACTAGAGTGGAGCAACTGTCTTTGCAACAGTAAAAGCCAACTTCTGTTAGGTTGTACCATGTCAAGGGTTAAAGAGCTTCTATCAGTTTCTCATTCTACCTGCTCTGAGCAGTTTATGTTCTAAATCCAAAGTGTTTAATGTAAGGCCTTGCTTTGATTACCATAATATGAATGAAATCTCTTTCTACACTGGTATTTACAGAAGCTAGAGATGTAACAGTTTATTGCTCTAAGCTTCCAAATCTTTAATGCTGCTGCTGTATAATAAGAATCCACATTTAGCACTTTAGAATATATTTGGAAGTCTAACTTCTCTTCTAGGTATCCAACACAACTTCTCAGGTTGACAGTGCTGATTGGAATGCACAAGCTGAGAAAACAATGTATCTGGACAAATCGAAAGAACTTCAAAACCAAGCCAGTGAGAGAACTGCTGATTCAATATCCATAAGTCAAGAGCAAAGTATGTACTGTCATAATAAAAACTGTAGTTCAATCAGGGCTGCAAAGTTAAACACATATATAAACTTGGGTTAAAGAAATAAAATACTGAACACTTGTACATGAACCAATCTGCAGAATAATGGAAGAGCTGCTGTCTTCCCTTTTTTTTTTTCCTCTCCTTTATTTTTTTTTTTAAAAAAAAAAAAGCTAAATGAATGCTTGGTTCTTGTTTTTTGTTAAAATATATATATATAAAGCAAATTACTTTGATTTAAGAACTTATGCCTAGTACTGAATTCAGAAAGCTAAATATCTCCCATGCTTCTGATGCTCCTATCTGCCAAACTTCACTCTCCTTTCCACTGTCATCTTCTGAAGCTTCATAGAGCTCTTTTCCCAGGGCACTTTGGGTGTATTTCAAGTTGTCATCTCTTCCTCTGGGTGAGGAAATAATGCAATGTTGAACAAGCTTTCACCATGGAACAAACTTGCATTTATTCCAAGAACACAGGTTGCCTGGAAGCTTGCATTCCATATAGACATGCATCATCCTTCATATGTATTTCAAAGTAAAGAGTTCTGAGCTCTACAGTGAACATCGGTGCTGACAGCCTAGTGTTACTAGACATTATGGTTTTGGTTCCTCCTCTACTCTTTCCTCTCTAGACTACAGGTATAGGCCTGAAGAGGGGAAGGAACAAGCTTCTCAAAACTTAACTTAAAAGGTACAGACTTCTTGCTGATGAGCTCTTAAATTGTTGCTAAAAAATAAAGACAAGTATGTGAGTTACGTTGAAGCAACTCTAAAATTGATTCTTTAATTCTCCAAGATGATCTAGTCAGTATTTTCATGGTCTTAACACTCCTACTCATATGCATACTTCCCCCTTCATTTAGACTTGTAGCAGCTGCAGCTGATACATGGGTTCCATGGACTCAGCTAATGACCTTCAGTTTTAAAGTTTTGATGCTGCCTGAAATAAATCACGCTTGCTGGTTTAATATTCACAGAAGGATTAAAAAAAACATAGCCAAAACTATTGAGAAAGCTTCCTCCCTTCTATACTTATTTACAATTTAGTTTCTATTTCCTTTAGCTTGCTTTTCCCAATCCTCTTTTAATTTGTACCATTTCTGTCTTCTCCCCTTTTTTCAAGTGTCATTTGTGTGGAGAGTTGTGAAGGAGCTCCTGTGTTTCATTACTGGATAGTTCTTGTACTAGGCTCTGCCTAATTTTCATTAAAATTTAATTAAAAGTTCATTGCTAAGCTGAACTTCAGCATTATGTTTAATGGAGGTTTTAACAATGTTAAAGGTGTAGCTATCTGCCCCCTTCCATAATAAATACAGCAGTGTCTGTTCCTGCAATGACACGTCCCAGCTGTGCTCAGTGTTACTATAAACTCCAGTAGAAAAATAGAAGGAGAGCAGGGGAAATATAGCCTTTTGCTTTTGAACGACAGCAAAGATATTGCAACTGTTGTAGGGCCTATAATCTATTAATAGAAAGCATAGAGTGTGCTCCAGTACTAATGCATCTACTTAGACCAAAACAGGGAAACTTATTTTAGAATTGGATGCTTAGAGCCATGCATTGAATTTTGTAGAGAATCCAACTGTCCTGGGCCTTTCTGTGAGGTTACTCACCTCTCTGAAAGCAGAGCTCTCCAGTTCAGACTTGCGGTGCCCCTGCTGGCATGGGTGCAGGCTCAGCGCACCCCTGCATTCAGCGGAGGCTTCTTAACAAGCTTAATTTAGGAAACTGGTAGTGACTTGCTTCCCTTTAGATTACAAAGCAGTGTCTCTCAATGAGGGGTTCTGTGGAGGCTGGCATTGCTGCCAGTAGCTCTAAAATGCGTGTTTGGAAGCCCATGGCTTCAAACAGGTTTGACACAGCATCGTATTCCTGTTTTATATCTAGAGCTTTAGGACAGCTGTGACTATGGATTTTAATTCATCCTGAGTTTGTTTCAGGAAGATGACCCTGGCAGACATGATGGGTTGATCAAATTGACCTTAACAATGGGCTTAGACATTGCTGGGTACGTGAAGCTCTTGCTTAATTTTGGAGTACTAAGTGCTGAAGACTGTCAAGTTTCTTACAGAAAGATTCAAGCTGCCTGTATGAAGATAACTGATAAAGGAAAGATGGCTATTGTATGAAGAGGGACACCTTATTTCACTAGTTCTCTAGAGGAGGACAAGTCTCTAATAATGGTGTTGGATCTAGATAGGCTTTGTGGACTTGCTTTGGGCCTGGAAACCATGAAAATCACAGAATGGTAAGAGTTGGAAGGGACCTCTGGGGATCATCTAGTCCAACCCCTCGCTAAAACAGGTCAGCCTGTTCCAGTGCTCTGTCACTCTCACAGTAAGGAATTTTTTCCTCACGTTCAGATAGTACCTCACGTGTTCCAGTTTGTGTCCATTGCCCCTTGTCCTGTCACTGGGCACCACTGACAAGAGCCTGACCCCATCACTTGACACCCACCCTTTAGATATTGATAAGCTCCTCTCTCAGTTGTCTCCAGGCTAAACAGATGCAGATCTCTTAGCCTTTCCTTGTAAGAGAGACACACCAGTTCAGAGAAAGAATATATCAGGATTTGGAACACTTTTCAATAGTATCTGAGAGACTTCAAAGGTCTTTCATCCATTCTATTCCACTGTACAGTAAAAAATCTCCTGCTCCATTGCAACTCTACCCTCTCACAGGCAAGGTGTGAGAGCATAGGGTGAAGGCTGGGCACTGTTCTTGAGTTTTGGAGGCTGTGAGGTTTTTCTGAACACTCATTTAATGACAAACTTTGCTGAGCATTTGATACTTTGCCTCCTGCATTCTAGATTCATACATCAAAGAGTTTTACCCTGTGCAGAACAAATACCACAAACAGCAGCATGTTATCTTAAGCGTCTTATCAAATGTTTACTTAAATGCTGAAACACCTCAAACTGCAGCAGAGGACCACTGCTGAGTGATATAAAATATCTGTGGTGTTCACATCTTTCTAAAATAGTGGCTTTCTTATAATACGCCTAGATTTTCATCCCAGAAGCTCTTTAGAAGGCAATATAGCCAAGTAATACATAAAACATGTTTTTAAAATGTAGTAAAAAAAATCCCACCCCAACCTACCCTACAATATGTGACTTTTGTTAGCTGTGTTTTATTCTAACCAGTCCATAGTACTACAGAAGTCTATTTTCAGGCTTACCATAATGACTGTAGGAAATGGTTCCTGCCTTTAGACAGTTTTTTGAAGTCTTAAACAGTTTAGAAAGTGTTTTTCACACAAAATAGTACAGAACTTCTATAGTAACACAGCATATCAGAGTTATTAACTGGGGTTTTTTTTCCCCTCATAAGTAATAAAGAGGTAACAGCACAGAGTATTCATGCAACCTGTAGGCTACTGGAAATGTGATGACTAGCTTTTACTGCCTGATCTATTTGTTGGGTTTGTTTTTTAAGAAAAATAAAAGGAAAAAAAGCTTTAAGCAAAATGAGTTAATGTGATGAATGAGGTATTATTCAATAATGCTGGAATCAAGACGGAAGAGGGCTGGATGGTTAGGGGGTTAGGAGGTGAGCAGGTAGCAAGGCGCCACCTTCAGACTTTTTGACCAAACTTTTGGGACATTCTGCTGGGACCTCTCCTGCGTTAATATCTCACCTGTAGTTGAGCTTAACCATTCCTTGCCCTGCCCCATACTGGAGAGAAGTGGTCCAGTCCAACATAAGTTTAGAAAATGTTTGGGAGCATTTCTGTCATTTTGAAACAAAAATAATAATACTAAGAGAAGTTGCAGTATAAGTCAATTTCTAGAATGACTAAATTTTTATCACTTTGAGGAAACATAGTATATAAAATCAACATAAGTAAAAATTCTTTTTTATTTTTCTATCAGGTCATTGTACACCTACAGATAATCCTCGTGGTCAAGACATGCTAGAGCCAAAATGCAAGATTCTTCCAAAAAAGGTGAGTGTTGTTTAAGCCCTATTTGAGGAGAAGAGCTTGAGTATACACACTAGGATCAATATTTCCCTGTCCTGGGATCTTCTCTGAAAATAATGGTCTTTTACAATTCAAATCCTTAGTATCTGACAGATCTTGGGTATGGATTTATCTTATTTCTAGTGCTAAAACAAACAAAAATGTATGGGAAATCTGTCGTCTCCAATCACTTCAGAATGTAAATGATAATGAGTAATTAAAAAATAATATATCCATATTGTCATTAAAAATATGGCTTATCTCATTTTGGTGGGTTGACCCTGGCTGGATGTCAAATGCCCACCAAAGCTACTCTATCACCCTCTTCTTCAAGTGGATAGGGGAAAGAAAATATAATAAAAGGCTTACGGTTCGAGATAAGGGCAGGGACACTGCTCAGCTATTACAGTGACAGGCACAACAGGATTGACTTGGGGAAATTAATTGAATTTATTA